ATGATAAAGAGTGAGTAGAAGAGTCAAAGAGTGAGTAACATCCATGTCAGAAGTTCTCTTCGCAAATTAGAAGATGAGGAGGTTTCTATGGTTTTTGCTTGCTTGCTTTTTTATTTTATTTAATGTTTATTTTTGAGGTGCTTGGGGGAAAGAAGGAGGGACAGAGAGACAGGGAGACAGTGGATCAGTTGGGCTCTGCACTTACAGCAGACAGCCCGATGTGGAGCTCAAACTTATGAACCATGAGATCATGACCTGAGCTGAAGTCGGACGCTTAACTGACTGAGCCACTCAGGCACCCTGAGGTTTCTGTGTTGTTAATTAAAGTATGAGGTGATGTCATTAAATGAGAATGGTGGGGATGACTGAAGTGAAGATGTGAAAGGATCCTTAAAACAGGGGAAGAATAGATGGAGCATTAGAAGGATATACAATTTTATGAGTTTGAATTGAAAATGAAACAAGTGATTTTCTACTGGTTTGAGGGATGAAGTAAATAGGTTATTTACAGTAGCCAAATAATGATAAAGTCTGAAGCAGGTGTCACAACCCTAAATATGTAATTTATTGCTGATATGAGTAAAAATTGCCATAGTCCCTTTTTTGGAAGCAATTCATCAATACATTATTTACTTACATAAAAGTAATTGGGAAACAGTGACAAAACATGAGTTTGGGAATTAAGTACACCTACACTCAAATCACGTAAGCTGTATTAGTTCTGTGAGCTTAGGTCTTTTCTGGCAGAAAAAGATGTCTGATCAGAACCACTATAGAAAATACAGTTTTGGAAAAAGATGGCAGCCAAACCAATTAGATGACTTAATTTTAATCTTGTGAAATAAGTTGTAGCTTCATCTTAACATTGCATTCAACCTCTTAATTATAAAAATGGCAACTTTAACAATTTTAAGCATTTTTAATAACAAGTGGAAATGTTACAGTGTATTTTCCAACACATTTTGCAATAAGTTTTTCGGGTAGAATATTTCTATACTGTTTTGATGAAGATGACCCAACCTTAGATTCTCAGGTGCTTTTTGAAGCAAATCAAATACTATTTTGTGAACCCATTACCAATTCCTAGAAGGAGAAAAAAAGGTCCAAAGACAAAATGCATGGCCTGAAGAAAATATCATGTACAAAATGTACTCTCTGGTGCAGGGTGAGATATTTAATGACATAGGATGATAAGTTGAATGGAAAAGAAACATGGGAAGACCAGAGAGGGATAACGACTCTGCCTTCTCACAGGCAGCAAAAAACTTGAGCCCAGCACCAAAGAAAACAGAAAAACTGTGACAGGAACAGGACCAAGATCTACAACTATCTTAGCCAAGATCTTCCTAGTTTCTGAAAAGGTTTGGCCATGCAAAGGGAATTTCAAAGAGCCCCAGTTTCATTTTAGGATGGTATATATCCTCTGTCTAGAGCATTCTGTCACATCACATGGTGACTTAGACATGTTCACAAAGCTCAGTTCATCGTTTTATTCAGGTGAACTCAAGCCAATAAACTCAAGCTAGTGTTAGCCCATGTTTCAAATTCAAGGGGCTGTAAGAGTCATTGAAAAAATAGTTCACGATTTATAGTGACATCTTATCATTACAAGAACATGATTACTCTCAAGTATCTGTGCGAGCAGTCAATGACCACTTTTGCAGAGTCATCAGAGTTATGGATTAATTATTTCCCAGAATAAGACTGAGATGACGTAAACCCATGTCATAGACAGCTCATCCACAGCCAGAGATCTTCATCTATGCTTGATAAAGCAAAAGCTCTTATTGATCCTGAACTTCAGTGGCTAGATATGAACAGCAATAGGAGCCTAGAGGAGTTAAATGGTGATTGACCTACCAGCGTATGCTACTGTGGTATAGCTGGGTATAGACCAATCCCCATCTCCAGTGGGGAGATAAATTCAGCCTTAATGTCTCAGGGATAGAGCCAGGACAACTAGTATCTTAGGCATATAGCCAGTAAGAATGAAATCCTTATTGGGATGGACCTTCAACAGCAGCACCTTTAAAGCAGGAGATAAATAATAATCCTAGCACTCCATGAACCTTCAGGGGAGTTCAATTCACTAAAGTCCTCAGCTGCACCAGACCTCATTCAGGCTCATATCATGGTACTTAGTACCAAAAAGATATAATGTGTCATTGGGGTTTTATACACTGGCCCATCCTTGGTTTGCCATGTCACCAACATGATTCAGTGAGCACATCAGTAGAAAGAGAGCAAAGGGAAGGTAGGGTTTAGGGCCAAAAGGAAGATAAAGGTTTTCCTTCCAATGTAAGCACTCCCAGTGTTTTTAACCCAAAACACAATACTGATACTGTGTGTGTGTGTGTGTGTGTGTGTGAAATAGAATATATATAAATGGTACTTCACTTTGCAGGGAATAAGTGCATAGAATATGTATAGAATACATACATAGAATACATACATAGAATATGTATATACATAGACTATGTATATACATACATAGAATATGTATATACATGAATTCAATAACATTATTTTGAAATACTAACATGTGCTTTCTGTCCAAAAATTCAAGTTAAACTTCAAATTCAAATTAATTTCTATAGCTATGTGTGATTTTTAAATCTAAAGGCAGAAATTTCAGGATTAGCCAATTTCAAAAGGAATCAGATGGCACAGTATAGCTGTTAAGCATATGAAGAATGTGGCAGTCTGTTGTTTAGAGATTTTCTTTCTGACAGCTTGTCCAGGTTCATAAAGATCTGAAGAATTGTTTCAAAAATATGAGGTTCTAAATAAAGATCTAAGGAGTATATTGAGACTAATTTGAATAAAAACAACTATTTATTTAGAAATCCATTTACTGATTTAAGAGGTTGGTTGAGATTTATAATGGATGTAAATATGACTAGAGAATTTTTAAAGTTATTGTACCAAGTTTATTATTAAAAGCTTTCCATGGGCTTATTATATAATTACTTAACTTTTATACCTAAATTTACAGACAGAGTATTAGCTAAAGTTACAGTTTTATTCTCTTGGCTTTTCTTATTCTTGCATGTTTTGGGATGTTAAATCCAACACTTTCAAATGGAGCCTGGAAATTTATTACAGTTATTTCATTCATGTCATATCATTCTGTCTGCTGTGGTCTGAATGCTTAAGTTCCCACAAAACACATATGTTGAAATCCTATCCCCAAAGGTGGTGGTATTAGGAAGTGGGGGCTTAAGTCATGAGGGTGGACCCTTCATGAATGGGATTAGTGTTCTTATAAAAGAGATCCCACAGAGCTCCTTTCCCCCTTTCACCAGGTGAGGACATTACTATCAACAGGAAGTGGGCCTTCCCCATACACCGGCACCTTCTTCCTGGATCTAGTCTCCAGAAATGTGAGAAATAAATGTCTGTTGTTTGTAAGCCATCCAGTTTATGGCATTTTGTTAGAGCAGCCAGATAGGCACCCTCCTAACAGTTACAGATTCGAAGGAGGCATACTAAGTTTTCTACCTCTGGTAAGAAAATAAAGAACACAAAAATAAAAATGGAGAGAACCCAAATAACAAGTTTTGTTTAAAAAGCCAAGCCAAGGCTTAATTTTTATTGCTATTTGCTTCTTTTTGCTCTTCCTCCTACCAAACACACGTACACTTGTTCTGTTCGTTTTGGCAGGAGGTAGGGCAGGCAAATGAGGGACGTGACTCTTCATTTTATGTTCACATGGTTTCTGGGTAATCTTTCATACAACTGATGTATTTCTCAGAACCTCCAGAGTTTTATATCAATTTTTTTTTCATTTCCAGGCAAAAGTACACAAGGCTTAAAATGTCCCAGAGAAATATCAACCTGAAACATCAATTATTATAGTAATACCCTAGCTTGGTTGACATACACCATTTTTTTCTCCTTAGAGTAAAAAAAAAGTCTGACTTTTGCTAAAATTCTGACTCCTATTCCATGTATTGTCGTTTTGAAAAAGTCACTCAACATTTTCTACTTAAGGCAATGTTAAATAATGCTTTCCCTCATTTGAAGCATGGAAAGTCAGTGGTGTAGTCAGTGGTGTAGACATAAATGTACATTGTTATGATTTCACTTAGATCTGTTGGAGTCTTAGTAAAAGGCCTATAGTCTCACAATATTTTATGATAACTATGTTGTTCAAGATATCCACCCCCACCCTACTCAAAACTGTGGTCACTCCTAGAATATCTCAAAGGCACTTCAAGGCCAGGAGATAAAGAAAGACACAGGTGCAAGCACCCACACCCACACACACAATTACTCTAAAACAAAACAAAATAAATATCATTGAAAAATCAGCACAAGAGACAAAAGATTTTTAAGGTAACCATTTAGCAAGGGTTATAGTCACAATAATTAGCCACCAACAGTGGTGGAGCATCATGGGAAGGTCTGGTGGTTTCCAGGGCAACCAGGGAAGCCCAGAGCCTCCTCAGGGTTCCAGGCAGCAGTCTGGTTTCCTGATTCAAGTGATTTCATTATGAGACCTGGTGAGATGATTCTCATCAGGGAGCCTCTCATTTAGTCATTCCCATAAATATCGGTGACACTACCTCATAAAGCTCTGAGGAGACTATACCATATAACAGCAAAACTAGACAGTTTTTTTCACCTCGGCAAACAGCTTTGGGACAACTTTATTGAAAGTCTCTGCAGTGTCAGAGCAATATTCATTACAGACCTTTGTGGCTATGATATGGGAAATCCGTCCTCAGGGAATCTGTGTTCTCAGATACAGCAACGCGATTGTTTAAAATCAATCCAAGGAGATGGTTTTTCCCTTGCGTGATGACTATTTATAGTAACAGTAATGCCCCAAATCTTATATTTGTAAGGTTTGTGTATGTGTGCAAATCTCAGTGTTCTGTGGATGTCTCCTAATTAATCTGAGGACATGGCCTCACTGCTTATAATCATCTCAAGTGAGAAATTCAATGCCAATGCACCATGCAACTGTGAAATTGGCCCTGAAAAGGCAGACAGACCTGAGCCCGTACAGCACCGTCCCATCAGGGTGAAGGCGGATCATGCGGTTTTTCACTGTCACTCCATGCACAAATGACTTTTTGTCATTTAAGAAATATGTGTCAGGCACCCATAGCTGGTCAGCCACTCGATTGTCAAGCGTGAGGTTGAGAGGGATCCCAGAATAAGCAAGCCTTTTATCTCTCCAATATTGTTGAAAATACATGGTTAAGGTGTAATCCTGGGGGGAAAAAAGAAAAGAAAAAAAATTAGTTTGTTCTCAGCCACAGGCATATTTCCTCCATGACTGGTCAAATTCAGATTGGAATCCAGGAGAAATGGGTATTATTTTCAGGCAGGATTGGAAGCAGTGGTTGCTTTCTTGTAAATGCAAATATTAGGTTTAATAGGTATAAATCATGCTAATAAATCCTCTGTTTTAGAAAAAAATCTGTTTTATTTCGGCAAGAACCAGACTAGACAAATTGGCATTTAAACAATAAGCCACATAGACATAAAGGGCCAAAAATAATTTTTAAAAAATTATCATAAAATCAGGTTGCTGGCAGAACCCTGGGCCCTCTCCTATGTCCTCCATCTCCCACCAGGCATACGTGTGTCTTTCCCACCTATGGCAGAGGAGCTCTGTCCACAAATTCTCTCTGCAACACTTTCCTCGCTTGCCCTTCGGAAAAGCTGTAAATACAAACCCTCTGTAAACATACCTTGGAGACCCAATGACCAATGGGAGGTCTTTATGCCTTATTCTCTTTTCCTTCCAGAACACCATTTCTATACTAACTAAGCCATATCATCACCTTGAGATGCTGATATACTCGTCTAGGGAAAACGGGAGCCTGTAGCTAAAGCTGGATGTGGGAGAAGGCAAGTGGACCATGGTGTAACCCTCACAGGCTTGCCAACAAAATAAGCATATATCTAGACAGAGGATCTTATTTTTTGGTTTATTTGTTTGTTTTGGGATTTCTTCTACAAAGTAGTTAATGCAGTAAGAAAGAAAGAAATCAGGCTAAGCATGAAAATTCTATTTTTAAACTTCTATTCTTTTTGGCAATCATTATTCAAGTCTACAATGATCAAGTCTGAACATTTGGTAATATTCATGGGACATCCTGAACTACACTATATAAGAACCCAAGCTGAAAACCCCTCTACATAAGTATCAAAACTCTCTAACCAGGGAAGGAAAAAACACTGTTACATACAGGATTTTCTGAATCCACATACTTACAGATAGCTGCAAACATCCTGACTTAGTGGGCAGTGAGAGGCAGGATTGCAAATCAATTGAAGAATCTATCTAGACACAGGTCTTATGACATCCTATGCAATACTCATTTTACTGACTCACTGGACAGTTCTCAGTGCTTGCTAATCTAACAATGCCTACTTGTCACTGATCTCAAGAGTGTTAGAACATAGAAGCCTCTGAAATGTCGAACACATCTGGATGTTCTTCTCCAGGTGCTCAAAGGCAAGGAGGTAACAAAATCAATACATGCTAAATAAGTATAAACAGAATAAGTTTTAAGCTATAAGGGCCATAAAAAATCAGACGAGGGTGGAAACAAGAAAATTCAAATGGACTGAGGAGTCTTCATAGAGGTTTCATCTACAAGTTGAAGGAGAGATACTATTTCAGTAGATGAGAAGACACACAGAGGGATTTTTTCCCAGGCACTTATACAGGCAGAGCTCTGTCCCTGTCATTACCTGTGTGAACTGTTCCCCACCCCATGACCCATCCTCACAGAGCAGGTAGCATTAAATAAAGGTCTTGGTTAGCCAGATATTGGATAGAGGACATGAAAAAATCATATGAGGTTGTTGCTTTTATTGCATTGATGAGATGCAATGAATAAGTATCCTTGAGGAGCAGTTTTGCTGGAACTTAGGGTTCAAGAGGGGAAAAGGACAGAGTGGTGGGCAAGGCAGGATTCTGTGGCAGTGACCAGAGATGGAAAAACTTAAGTGCCAGCTCCATAGCCAATGAAAGACATTGAAGGCTTCAAGTAGCAAGTGACACAACCAAGTGTATTTATCATGTCTTTTATTTTCTGTTTTCTCATGCTTTAACATCTGGACCTGGCTGGCTTTGGAGGGACTGCTCTCCCTCCTCCCAGGGCTAACCAATTCTTAGACATAGCAAACAACTCTATTAAGCTCTAAACTCCAAATACAAATCAACCAATCCAGAAATCACACTCCAAGTGCCAGAGCTCACACCCCAAGTGCCTTCTCTATAGGGCTTTCTCTATGTCCAAGTATCAGGAAACTATGGACAGTTTAGACCTCAGGGCCCACTGTAATTATTGAAACTAGCCAATCCTAAACCTGCTTATCCAGCCTCCCCCATGCCCATTCCTTCCCATGGAAACCACCATAAAGGGTCTTGTTCATGGATTCATTTCTTCCCTGTGACAGACCCTGGTGCTTTCCTGTGTTCCTCACATTCTCTGCCAATGGATGGTGTGCTCCCTTCTCTTGGGGTCTCTGAATAACAAACTATCTTTTCAAAGGCAGCTCTCTCCCGATGTGTTGTGCCTGCCATACCTAAATAATAATACAACTCATTTTAAACACAAAATCATGGATCAGGAAGATCAGTTGTGACTAAATGGGTAGTAGAAGGTGGTTGGTGGTGGGTGATAATAAGGGAGAACAGGTGGAAAAGGGGTACAGGTTAGGGAAATCCTAAAAGATCACATATAATAGGCTTGATGTAAATGGACCCACAAAAAGTGCAATCACATACCCTGCATTATCAGAAATTATGGTTAATGTAGGTTATACATTTTTAACTGAAACATGCTAAGTTTTGGTGGCATGATAAGATGGAAATAAATCAGCAGTTGCAACTAAAGGATTTTCAATTTGAATATAATGCTCCAAATTACATTCTTATTGAAATAGAAGTGTTTCACTTGCTTCTCTCTTTGGTTTCTAAGCCCACATCCTACGCCTGAGTCATGAAGTCTAGCACTTCTCTGAGTTTCCTTCCAACTGGCATTCACATGGGTTGCCATGAGGATGGAGGAAATGTGTCAGTTTGCCCTGCGAACTCAGTTGTCATTCAGAGTCATCAAACTTGGGCTCTGAGTCTTGTGCTGTTCTCCACACCACCAGCAACACCTCTCAATTTTGGTCTTGGGTGTTTGCTGAGGTCAGTTGAGTGGATTAGGGTTGGGGAGAGCTTAGGTCATAGAGGAGAAAACTAGTATTTAAATTCAAACCTGCTGCATCAGCTGTGCTTTCTAAAGCAATGACATCATTACATCAGTGGGGACACTAGTCAGTATCCCACTTCTTTCTCCTGTACAGACTGGCAAAGGAAATGTGACAGCAAGTCCAAGCCTTCTTTTGCTCTCTTATGCAGTTGGGGGCAGCTAATAGAAGATTTTAGTGTTCAGTGGGCCATGGTACTGACTCCTGTGCCATGCAGTGGTGAACACCATGCACAATAATGTCAGCAGTAGTTAATATGCTCTGATCCCTTGGTATGTGCTAGGCCTTATGCTAGCATCATCTCATTTAAACACAAAGCAGGGATTATCAGTATTCTTATTATCATCCCCCATCAGTGAAAAAAATGTTTTAGTGAGCTCAAGTAATTTGCTTCCTTTCCCCCATGCCCCAATAAACAGGCATAACTGGGGGAAATTGGATTTGAATTTGAGGCTACCTTCCTCCAGGGTGTGACTGTCAACCTCAAAACAAAGCTCTAAGGGACAGGAGCTAAATAGTTCTGCATAATACACTGAAATGAGCTTGGTGGGAGGATAGTCAGCAAAGATACCTTGGTGAATGGAGAATCAAGTCATGTAAGATAATGTAGCTTTTGAGGGGAATAAGAACTGTGGCACCACTAAAGCCCCCCATCCTTGCAAATATTTAGCACAGCTGCTATGTAGACAAATGCTTTGTGGAACTTTCTTGTCTTCAGAGAATCCCAGGCAAGTTGATATTTTCCACATTCAGAGGTCCCCAGGGTCTTCATGAGCTCTCCTTGCCTTCTTCCTGGAGCGGTCACCTCTAAACGTGGTGCAGCTGAGACGGGGTGCCTCAAGGGAGATGAAAGGGGACAGAGCAGAGGCCTTGATGCAGGGCTTTTGGGGGCCCCAAGAATATTGGAAGTAGAACCAGGCAGTATTGATGAGTCTGATACTGGTGGTGGATGTCAGCCTCCTGGGCCTCTGCAGAGTTCACTGTGTCCCTGACTTTCATCTTTCCTGCTCTGGCCATGTGATCCACCTGAGCACAGGGAGGAGTCTTCACTCACACTGAGAAGAAATCTCAGACACCAAAAGTTTCTGCTAGGGTAAGAGGAAATTGTGATGGTCTCTTCCTTTCCCACCTCTGCCCTTTGCAGTGGAAACTAAATCTACAGAGAGACATTAGGAAGGAGTGGGTGTGAAGAGGGGATTAAGGAGGAGTGGAATGTGGGGAGAAGCTGACATTAGAAGGTATGGGGGTCAGAGATCAGAGTGAGAGCCACACCCAGGGTGAGGGAAATCAAGAGTCTGGAGGAGAAAGGCTCATTAGAGTGGTGGGCTTCTGGGTAGAGAGGGGCAGCAGGGAGCAGCCAGGCTCAGCGAAGAATACAGAGGAATGAGATGAAAGAAGGAGTGGGGCATGGGGAGAAGAGGAGTCTAGGAGGAGCAGGCTCATGAAAGTAGTGGGTATCCAGGAAAGGTGGGACACAGGGGACCATCAAGCAAGGCTTTTCACCATACAGTGTGATGGGCACAGGCTCCAGAAACCTCACCTTGGGAGGATGGGCTTAAATAGATTAGCACACAGTAGGAAGAGACAGTCTGTGTCCTGGAACTGATCGTTGGCGGAGGCACAGCCAGCCATATCAGCACATCTGGACAGCACATTCTGGCAGAAGGAGGAGGGGGTAATGTCCAAGAGGCATCAAGACTTACAGAAATAGCTGCCAATGGAGTGAGCCGCATGACAGGGCCCTGTGTCCAGGAGACACAGAATCTCCTTAGCTGTGAGGTCTTCATGGATTGAGAGGAATAGTCTTCACTCCTAGCCCTGCTCAAAATTCTTCAGAACTAGGCTCACAAAGTTCCTTCTGGATATAATTTGGTATCACCTGATTTTAGAAGACTGTGCTTTGGGTGGTGGCTAAGATCTGCAGTACTTTGAACATTTATAAAACATTCCTCCTATAAATTAATTAATGGACATATTAGGTGTGTGTACATGGAT